CAGTTTATTTCATAATGTAAACTAGAACTGATTTGTATCTAATAGGACTTTCCAAATCAGTGTTTTATTGTTAACTAAAACTGTGAAAAATTGTTTGTGGTAATTGAATAAAGAAATGAATGAATAAAATTACAAATATTAAATATACAACTTACACTTAAAAAGAATAGAAATTAATGAAAATTAGACATGTTGACTTGGTAAATAACTGAAGCACTAAAATGAATTGAAATAAAAATAAATTAAAGCTAAATAAACACATTTTGACCAAAACAGAATGACTAAAATTTAAACTTAAATTGAAGTGAAAATTGATAATATAAAAATAAAAGCAAATTCAAAATATTAATAAATAATATAATAGCATGTACTAAAATACTAAAACACTTTCCAAGTGTGTCGCTAATTTTATGAGTTTTAAACAAGAACCTATTAAAATATACCCATCTTAACACTCTCATACTCTCGTATGTCATAGAGATGAGTGAACATTGTTTTAGTGAAACTTAAATGTTCAAAATAGTACTCTAATATTGCTGCGATATTCACAATGTTGCTTCATTTAAAGAGATAGTTCACCCAAAAATTAAAATTTCATTATGTTCCAAACCTGTATGAATTTCTTTCTTCCGCTGAACACAAATTTAGATATTTGGAAAGATGTTGGTAACCAAAGAGTTGCTGGTAGCCATTGACTCTCATTGTATTTTTTTTTCCATACTATGGAAGTCAGTGGTGCCAGCAGCTGTTTGGTTACCAACATCCTTCCAAATATCTTAATCCAAATATTTTAATTCATACAAGTTTGGAACAATGGGAAGGGAGATTAAATGATGTCAGAATTGAGATTTTTTTTCTTTGAAAAGAAACTATCCCTTTAATCGCATTAACAAAATTTTTTGCATATATGCTGTAAATATTCTATATATCGCCCAACCCTGTTTAGAATGTGAGTCTGCAATTTTTAAGATGTTTATCAGATATTTGAGCAAAAATAGTGATTTTTTTCCCCCCTATGAACATAATGAGCACTTTCACAGATGTTTCGTCGACATACTAGGGTGAAGGGTTACTTGTATTGGTCAAGACAAAATGCTCAATGACAAAATGTAACAACTGTGTCCACAGATTACGAGAGAGTATTACGGGATCACAGAAGTTAAAGAGCTGGTACAGGGCGGGAAGACCATCACTGTGGACAAGACGAACAGGTGTGATTGTACACGGAGTCTGTGGTGTGTGTCTCTTTAAATAAAGGTCTGAAAGAGGTCGTGTTGTTCCTGCCCGTGCTCCATATTTCAGTGTCTGTGAGAGGAAGTGTGTGTGTGTTGTCAGAGGGAACAAAATTGCAAGGTTTCAGAAGCTGCAGAAGCAGATGGGACAGCACACAAATCCAAACAATCCAGAACATAAATCCAAACAAAAAAAAAAAGCATATAAATGAACACACATTTGTGATGTATGAAGAATTGTTGCTGCGTTCACGGTTATATTACAGGAAAAACATTAAGTCGAGATTGTATGAATAGGAAAATAGTTTAAGAAAATAGCAAAAGTATTTGATAGGAACGTGCATGTGTGTTATATTTGTTTGTGTATGTGTGTGTGTCCTGCTGTCTGACGGTAAGATTAGGCAGAAGGCCTGTCATCTTGATCTCAGATCAAGGCTCGTTCCCACAAACACACACACACAGCATACCTAACGTTAATATATGACCTCCTGAAGAGATTACAGGTATTTAGCCCAGCTCAGATTATCAGTCTTAATTCACTCGGTCTGGTGTGTGAGTGCATGTGAATATGTGCACTGGATTACATTCATCTGATGTGCTTTATTGATCCTTCAGGGAGATTTGACAAACTGTTGACTAGCTAACATAGTTCAACATTCCCTTTCAGTGGCATGTACAATCATTTTATGAGTTTTAAACAAGAACCTATTAAAATATACCCATCTTAACACTCTCATACTCTCGTATGTCATAGAGATGAGTGAACATTGTTTTAGTGAAACTTAAATGTTCAAAATAGTACTCTAATATTGCTGCGATATTCACAATGTTGCTTCATTTAAAGAGATAGTTCACCCAAAAATTAAAATTTCATTATGTTCCAAACCTGTATGAATTTCTTTCTTCCGCTGAACACAAATTTAGATATTTGGAAAGATGTTGGTAACCAAAGAGTTGCTGGTAGCCATTGACTCTCATTGTATTTTTTTTTCCATACTATGGAAGTCAGTGGTGCCAGCAGCTGTTTGGTTACCAACATCCTTCCAAATATCTTAATCCAAATATTTTAATTCATACAGGTTTGGAACAATGGGAAGGGAGATTAAATGATGTCAGAATTGAGATTTTTTTTCTTTGAAAAGAAACTATCCCTTTAATCGCATTAACAAAATTTTTTGCATATATGCTGTAAATATTCTATATATCGCCCGACCCTGTTTAGAATGTGAGTCTGCAATTTTTAAGATGTTTATCAGATATTTGAGCAAAAATAGTGATTTTTTTCCCCCCTATGAACATAATGAGCACTTTCACAGATGTTTCGTCGACATACTAGGGTGAAGGGTTACTTGTATTGGTCAAGGCAAAATGCTCAATGACAAAATGTAACAACTGTGTCCACAGATTACGAGAGAGTATTACGGGATCACAGAAGTTAAAGAGCTGGTACAGGGCGGGAAGACCATCACTGTGGACAAGACGAACAGGTGTGATTGTTCACGGAGTCTGTGGTGTGTGTCTCTTTAAATAAAGGTCTGAAAGAGGTCGTGTTGTTCCTGCCCGTGCTCCATATTTCAGTGTCTGTGAGAGGAAGTGTGTGTGTTGTCAGAGGGAACAAAATTGCAAGGTTTCAGAAGCTGCAGAAGCAGATGGGACAGCACACAAATCCAAACAATCCAGAACATTAATCCAAACAAAAAAAAAAAGCATATAAATGAACACACATTTGTGATGTATGAAGAATTGTTGCTGCGTTCACGGATATATTACAGGAAAAACATTAAGTCGAGATTGTATGAATAGGAAAATAGTTTAAGAAAATAGCAAAAGTATTTGATAGGAACGTGCATGTGTGTTATATTTGTTTGTGTATGTGTGTGTGTCCTGCTGTCTGACGGTAAGATTAGGCAGAAGGCCTGTCATCTTGATCTCAGATCAAGGCTCGTTCCCACAAACACACACACACAGCATACCTAACGTTAATATATGACCTCCTGAAGAGATTACAGGTATTTAGCCCAGCTCAGATTATCAGTCTTAATTCACTCGGTCTGGTGTGTGAGTGCATGTGAATATGTGCACTGGATTACATTCATCTGATGTGCTTTATTGATCCTTCAGGGAGATTTGACAAACTGTTGACTAGCTAACATAGTTCAACATTCCCTTTCAGTGGCATGTACAATCAAATAATATTAACTAATAATAGGTCAACTCTTCTGGGCAACTAACACAATGTCATAACCAGATACACCAAGAATGGTAAAGGACATGGTTTCTTACGTCACAACAAAATCTAAAGAAAGGAATAATAAAAGCCTATTTTTGTTTCAAAATTCAGTAATGTGTTCAAATTTAGTTCTTATTATTTGTACAGTATTTTTTTACAGATTTTTTTTTATTAATCTAATGGGAATTATAATTACCGGTATATAACATTAATTATCGTCTTTATCAAATGACTGTAATACCATGATAAAAAAATAAATTAAAAAAATCAGTGTAAAGGTAATACAACAAATAATATCATGACGTATAACTACATATAAACAGCAGTGTGCTTATTTAAAATATAAAATGTGGTTAATTGTCATAAAAAGTCACAAATGCCAAAAAAGCTATATATATGCAGTGTATATATACAGTATATATATTAGGGGTGTAACGGTTTGCAAAATTCACTGTTCGGTTCGATACGACACAGTGGTGTCACGGTTCGGTCCGTTTTCGAAAGGGGGAGGGGGGGTTGGGTAATTGCTTTCGTCGCAATGTTGGAAATATTTATGTTTTATACCATGAAGGCTAGCCAATAAATATCACTAGAAAGTGAAAGTAAAAACGAAATGACGGAGCTTTTCTTTATCTGACGCTGCATATTCTCTCAGAGACGACGAGAGACCAATCTACTTCAACATATGCTGATTACGGTATATAGCTAACTGTTTTAATTTATTCCCGTAATATTTCTCTTGTGGCCCGTACATAGTAAAAAACAAAAAATAAATGAGAAGAAACGTATTTGGTGTTAAACAGATTGTTTTTGAAAGTCGGCACTTTAAATAGGCTAAATAAAGCTTTTTATTTCATTGATTTTTATTGATGACTGCTGTCTTAATATTTTAATTATAGGCTTATGATTAATTGTATAATAGACCTGTTTTAAAAGACCTTTTTAAAAGAAGAGCAAATAGCCTTATGTTTTGTTATCCTTGCAGCGTGTCAGTTATGCGGTAATATTGCGGGGGAAATTAATTGTAATTTTAATTTAATAATACAATTTAATAATAAAAGTAACTTCTTAATAATAATAATAATAGGCCTAATAAAAATAAGAATGTAACAGGGTTACATTAATTGAAAATGCCAAATCCTCTTAATATTGCCAATAATTGATGTTTTTGACAATATCTCTGGCTATCGCCTATACAAGATCCTCGTCTTTCGACGCACCCCAGCAAGAGGTGGTTATCGCTGGGCAGACAGCACGTTGCCTGTTATGTTATTTGGGCTGCCTTGTTGAGCACAGTGGTACTGAGAACATTATATTTCACACACTTTAAGCTCTTTCATTTTCAAATGTTATAGGATTAGTCCAACGAATCGTTCGGTTTGTAATGTGTACCGAACCGAAAACCTTGTACCGAACGGTTCAATACGAATACGTCTATCGTTACACCCCTAATATATATATATATATATGTATATATATATATATATATATATATATATAGTATAATATTATATTTTATATACAGTGGGTACGGAAAGTATTCAGTATGTGTTCAGTGACTCTGTACAGGAGCAGTATTCGGCCTTCTCCAGCGGTTTTCTGAAGGTCTGTGGTGGGGAGATTCTCTCTCTATTCCAGCCCTCTGAGCTCATGGCCATGGTGGTGGGCAACAACAACTACAACTGGGAGGAGATGGAGAAGGTGGGACACGTTTCATACAGCTGTGCTTCACAATTTTATTTACCTGAAGGTCTGTGGTGGGGAGATTCTCTCTCTCTTTCAGCCCTCTGAGCTCATGGCCATGGTAGTGGGCAACAACAACTACAACTGGGAGGAGATGGAGAAGGTGGGACACGTTTCATACAGCTGTGCTTCACAATTTTATTTAGACTCTGCCTTGTGTTTTTCATGGCTTTGTATCTCTTCCCCCCCCCCAGAATGCCTCCTACAAGGGCGAGTTCTCTGCATCCCACCCAACAGTTAAGATGTTTTGGGAGGTGTTTCATGAATTTCCCTTGGAGAAAAAGAAACAGTTTTTATGTAAGTGAGAGACAACAGTGTAATGGTTGGTACTATTGAATATGTTATATAAAACTGTCTGAATATAAAGCTAGAGCTAAGACCTGCTCAAACCAAAAGTGAAACAAAAATATAAAGCAAAACACCATTTTTTTTATTTATTGTGCTGAATGAAATCGAAATGTACACCAGAACTATATATAGTGCACCTCTGGTCTGCCATTCTCTATAAACTGCAGAGGGGAGTTTGAAGAAATCCAAACACTACTTAAAGTTTGCAAACAACCATAAAACAACTTAGCTGAAGGTTTGCATTGATTCCATTAGTAGCAGCCGTTCAGAAGAGTTTACTATGGCTCTTCTAAACAAGATTGCTCATTTGGTGTTGGCTGTCAAAATAGATTTTGATTCATTAGCATCAGCTGTTGCTCTGTACTATGAAATGAGGCTTGGGACCCTAGAGCTTAATTTTTCGGTCAGTAAGGTTTTGGCCAGTGTTATTTTAGTATTATTTATATGCTGTTACAGTTTTATTAATATTTTGAATTTTATCATTATATTTTAGTTTTCATTTTAATTTTAGTTTCATTTTTTAGCCATTTGATGTGCTTTTGTCATTTGTATTCTTTTTTAATATACTGTAACTATTTAGATTTAATTTATTTTTAGTTTTAGCTCCGTTTATTTTAATACATTTCCAGTAATTTTAGTGCTTCAAATGTATTTCAGTTAGTTGCAACATTTCAAATGTTTTGTTTTGTTTTGTTATATATATTTATATATAAAATATATAATTCAATGTTATTAATAGTTTTTGTTTCAGTTAACAATAACCTTGGTTTTGTCACCATATGAAGGGAAAAAAAGTATTTGTATTGATAAATTTTATAGGGCAATCAAAAAATAAAATGGCTATGTTAATGTAAACTGATAAATACAACTTAATGTGTGGTCACATTTAAGTCAAGTCAAGTCACCTTTATTTATATAGCGCTTTTAACAATACAGATTGTGTCAAAGCAACTGAACAGCATTAATTAGGAAAATAGTGTGTCAATAATGCAAAATGACAATAGTAAACACTCATTTTTCAGTTAAAGACAGTTCATCATTGAATTCAGTGATGTCATCATCCAGCTCAGTTCAGTTTAAATAGTATCTTTGCAATTATGTCAACGATATCGCTGGAAATGAAGTGTCCCCAACTAAGCAAGCCAGAGGCGACAGCGGCAAGGAACCAAAACTCCATCGGTGACAGAATGGAGAAAAAACCTTGGGAGAAACCAGGCTCAGTCGGGGGGCCAGTTCTCCTCTGACCAGACGAAACCAGCAGTTCAATTCCAGGCAGAAATGAGAAATTAAGTTTCTACAATATTTAGTGGTAGTTTATCAGTGGTGACTGTCAGTTAATGTACATATTGCAGAAATGTACGGAAAAATCAATTAAAGACGTAATCAAACAGACGATGAACATTATTAACAGCAATTATTATATGATGCAATCAAACTTATAGCAAAATGTGGTAGTTCTGTAAGTTGTTTCAGGGTTGGCATCATCTGAGGTCCTCTGAGGGCTTGCATCATCTCTTCTCAGGTGTTCTGGATCCAGACTGAAGCTTGTGTAAATCCTGTAATTTAGTGGGTACAGGATCTAACAGTCATGTTGTTGGTTTAGATGCAGTGATAAGTTTATTTAGCTCTTCCTGTCCTATAGTTGTAAAGCACTGCAGTTTATCTTTTGGTGCGATGAATGAAGCTGTAGTATTATATGCTGTAGAATCTACATTTGTTATTGTATTTCCCATTGCTAACAGCGAAAATCCAGTCATTTTAAAAGGAATCCGCCCAATTGGGAATTTCACATAAGGGAGAAACATTCCCCCATGCAGATTTTGCACCAACACCAGGTTTTTCACAGAATGCTGCTTGCTTTGATGTGCTGCAGGGTTGCCAGGTCTGCAAAACAAATCTAGCTCAACTGCTGTATATAAAACTCAATCCCAATCACATTTTTTTGTGGTTTTCCCCTCTGTCGGGGATTCCCTCTGTCAAAATTTGAAGCGTTCCAGGGGGTGGGGATCGCTTTAACCTGCAGCAACAGTGTAAAAGTAGCCCAGTTCAGACTTGGCAACACTGATAGTCTGTGAATTCTGTGTGAGTGGTGCTTTCCGCATCATTACACTATTGGACTATGGACCTTCTTTGCGCCAATGCAACTGCGCCTTAACAACGCAGACCAAATTAGTGTTTTTGTCTTCCCACAGTGTTTTTGACAGGCAGTGACCGCATCCCCATCCACGGCATGGCCAGTCTACGCATCGTCATCCAATCCACTGCTGCGGAAGAGCACTACCTTCCTGTGGCCCACACCTGCTATAACATGCTGGACATGCCCTGCTACCAGACCAAAGAGACCCTGCGGCACCGGCTCACGCAAGCCGTGGAGCAGTACGAGGGCTTCAGTCTGGTCTGAGCAGGATCTACAGAGGTGGCTTTCTGTATGCTGACACTGCACTTTAAACCTGTGGAGAAATGGAAACGAATGCTGCTCTCGTGTTTATTTTACCACAGATGAGCACATCCTGAATCTCATATGAGTAAATATATTATTTTCTTATTTATACAGACGGACTCTGTTTTGCTAATTTGGTTTAATCTTGAGATGTGCACAGTTTTTGTTTCTTTTTCTTTTTTGCTTCCTTTTTGGTTATACAAATTTATATTTTTTAAATGACAAAAGTAAATAAGGTTAGGATTGAGTTGGCAAAAAATTAATTCATTTGATTTTCTTTATATATTTTGTAAATGTTACTGTTTTTTAATCAGATTTTAAAACCGATGGGTTGCTCTTGCCTAGACCACGTTATTTTGTTAGGCATGTCCAAACCTGTTCCTGGAAGGCCACTGTCTAGCAAAGTTTAGCTCCAGCCCTAATTAAACACACCTGAGCCAGCTAAGTTAGGTCTTCAGATCAAGTGTGTGTTGGAACTGGTTGGAACAAAACTAAACTTTTCTCCAGGAGCAAGATTGGACGCCCCTGTTATTTTGCTATTTTGAATTTCATGAAGGAAGTAAAAAAATTTTGGAACAAATTTAATAGTTAAAGCATATGAAATGCCAATCAATCACTCATTATTGACTATAGCTGGGTGTTTAATCCCATTCAGAAAGAGCCATCGCAACCCTACAAATCGGGGGCTCGTCCGGGATGAAGACAGTAAAAGTAACACAGCCCCATCAGCATGGTATACCGGACAGACAGTTTTAGGCCCAATACATTTGGGATGTCCAATCCTGGTCCTGGAGGGCTAATGTCCCGCAGAGTTTAGCTCCAACTTGTCCCAACATACCTGCCTGGAAGATTCTAGTAAACCTGAAGACCTTGATTACCTTGATTCGGGTTTTCATTCAACTACGGTTGGGGTTAAACTCTACAGAACAGTGCCCCTCCAGCAACGGGATTGGATACCTCTGCAATGCATTAAAGAGATTTAACTTGATGAATAATCTCTTTTGTTTCTGAGCTTTCCAGTTCGGTCTGTGCTCAGATCAGATGTTATGCATTTTCACTCCTCATGAATCCATTCCACTGGTTTTCCTTTAATGTACAGTAGCAAGCCATTAACATAAAAATGTCTCCTATTAATGATAGGCATGCATGAGCATGCCATGCCCAGGTTGAACGCTGAAGCTGCTTTTTTGAAATATTTTAATTAACTATGGGGAAAAAATCTGATATTTCTCTTAAAGTGACATCAGTTGAGATTTCATTGAGGAACAAATCCAGCAATAACTACTGGTTGATGTACGTGTACTAGTTATGGGATTTTAATTATGTTTTAATCCAACAAATGTGAATATTCTAACAGCTGTGTTCTTCTTCCGGTCAATCCATTGCCGCTTTCAATTTAATCCCTCCTGTTGTTTCACAGGAAGGTCATATGCTGTAAAGGGGATTTTGTTTTCTATTCGCATTTTCTTTCTGAGTGGAGCATTAATGTTGGGTTGTTATTAAAAAATGGATCAGAGTGACTTAGCTTTGTGGTTTTCCGATATGGTGGATGATACAGGACTGTCAGGGACCACAGTGAGTTGTTTGCTGTGGCCTGTGGTGTTTTGCATCTAGCTGCATGAGATGTATTTGTTTGTACTTGATGGAAGGCCATATAAAGAAGTGTTTCTATCCAACTTATTCCTTTCTGTCAATGTATGCAAACAAGGGCTTCTTAGTGGCTACCGATGCATTGTTATTTTAGTAAAGTATATTTACTTTTGTAGCTTTCAAATGGAATATATTGTTTTATCTATTTTTTTCCAGAACAATAAAATTATTTCACCTCAGATTAAATATTATCAAACGTCATGGCATTTTCTTGCACTAAATGGCATCGAAATGAAAACCCAACACCTGTATATTCAGAAAAAATAGTTTGGTTTTATATCATATATACAAAATACAAATACAATCATGTACTAAAATGTACACACAGTATTCATCTTTATCCATCAGTCTTGTCATGTTCAGTAAAAACAAAGGTCACACTAAAATTTTCCAATCTGGAGAATAAGAGATAGGGGTGATGTGCTCGCTGTTTGTATCTGCGTTCACGAGGCATAAATGCTCAGTGAGGCCCCACAGTTTTGTTTTCTATTGCTCGCTAACAATAGAGATGGTTTTGAGGGTTCAGTCCACCCACATCACTGTTAAACAGTGAGTTTCATTTGATGACCAGTAAGACACTAGAGTACAAAAAAACACTACAAAAAGAACAATGAAAGCTGGATTATAGTACCTTTTTTTGTGCGTTTCTACATTAGAGAATGGCAGATTTCTTATGGTTGTTCATTTGCACATTTTTTTCTTTCATAAAGAAAATAACTGAAGTAAATTCTAGCTTAGTCAATGGTCTTAGTGGTGTGGGGGGGATTTTCTCAGAAGCATTAATGTTCAAAATAAACAATTATGGCACCAGTAAATAATGAAAACTAATATACAGAGAGCCTTCCTTCCACAAATTGGTTACATTCTTCAATTCATCAAATACGACAAATTCCTATAATGATAAACTCTCCTCATCTCTATACACAGACAATTTAAGACGCATTATCTCAATGTTCTTCAAAGCTTATGTCTGATTGCGAAAACATTTGTTTCTATATTACAGCAATATTAATGTAGAAAAAAAATCTAAAATTTGAAACAAAATGTCATATAATACAACATAACATAACAGAAATTTTCTTCTGGACTTCAATGGGAATTAAGATCAGAGATTCACAAGTAATCTGATTGTTTTCTGAAATCCAGTCTCATAGCAGATGCAAAAAAAGCAGTCCAAAGCAGAACACAAGTCCTTTTTGCTGTACAGTGGAACAAACAGCACTGTACATCTGCTAAAGATGAACTAGGCATGTCTTGGCGTCCTTCAAAGCCAAATGTGCCTGTAATGAGTCAATAACAGAGGAACATGTCTTTGTACACATTATATTGCTTTGGATAGCAATGGCTGGTCCTTGTTTGGCTAGTAAAGTAAATCCCAGCTGAGCACTAGATGAACTTAGAAGAGTCTCTTTTACTGATGAGCACTTCCAACAGCCTTAGCTTGGCTTTAATGTGCTTGTATTCATTGTATTCTCCAGCCAAGGGTGAGCGATCTTCCTTTTGCACGTTTCTATGGGAACAGCAAAAGTAGAGCAGTCAGTAACAAGATGTTGTTTCTCTCTGTAGAGACAGATTTAAGCTTATGAAAATGTACAATTCTAAGAACAAGCATGTACACCTTTTAAAATTCATATTGTGGAAGTTTTCGTTACCTGCCATTCTGTTTGAAGAACTGATCCTCAAAATCACGGAGGTTTTTGCGGATTCTTTTCTTTTCTTCACGGGCTTCCTGGAGTTGTTCCACGAGTTCCTGCCTGTGTGTTTGGTTAAGAAGGAGTGGAGAGTTTTGAGATTCTTTCTACCCACCACAGCAACAATGCAATAATTTGAGGTTTCAGTGGTTGGCACATATTACTGAACATTTCGCTTTTTTAAACTTACAAATTACTTTTAGCCTATTATATAAATGGCCTTGTAGCTCCACAAAAGATGGTTTATATGAATACAAGGAAAGTGAAAGATCTATAGGGGTGCTTACACACTACAGTTGTAGGTCAGAGATCATCGCATATTCATTGGTTTCAAAGGGTACGAAAAGTGACACTACATCGCACAACCAAAGGTTGAGAACATTTTACACCTTTAGTTTACCAGGGCTGTGTTTAAAAAAAATCATCTTAAGCATAAATAGATTGTAGAAACCATTGGAACCAATGGTCTCTACGATCAACTTTGGTTTACAATGCTTGTGAAACAGCCCAGGTTAGTCTCTTTTTTGAGAGAGACCTGGTCATTAGAGATCTGGCATATTCCTACTTGATTTCTAACTATCTTCAAAATGGACCTCAAAACACGATCTTGTGTGTCAGCACCCTAAGACATAGGTTTCTATTCTAAACCTTATACTTACATGGTAGCAGCATGCAAATTGGACAATCTCATGTCTGTGGTGTTCTTGGAGGGTGATAGGTCATCAACAGGTGAGATGAAACCATCTGTGTCCTCATCCAGCTGGTCAAGAAGTTCCAACATGGTCAGTTCCGGCTTAACCGTGACCGTGAACTGTGTCCTGGTATCACTGTCATCGTCCGAGCCGTCCTCCTCCTCCTGGAAAAAGAGCAGATGGCGATGGTTAGTTGGATTGCAGCTTAACTCTGAGAGTTTATACCAGCATGACTGAGCAGAATCAAGCGTAACATTGATTTTGAAGGCAAATCTCATTGACATTTAGCAATCATTGTGCATCAAGCCTCTGTCGTGACAAGTGTTAGTACAAATGAAAAGAATCAGAGCTCCAGCAGTGCAGTAAATTATATTAATTCCAACTGGAGCATTTGGTGCACTGACTTACATGAGTTACCATTTTGAGTTTTTCTTTAATACAAAACCCAACAAGGGTGTAATCAAAAGGCAATGGAATCAGCAGGAGTCGAATCTCACAGCACTCCCATGCAGTTACTGATTCATGATTAATTTAATGAGGAAACTAGTGGGGAGAAGGAGGTGGGTCAGCCGAATCACTGGTTGGTTGAGCAGTAGCAGCTCTTCACCTTGGTGTCGCTGAAGAATAGGGCTGGTACACCCTCGATAATGGGCTGCAGCAGGGGGCCTCTGCGCTTGCTGGAAGGCGAGCCCTGTGGTGGTGTTAATAGTGACATTACAACCCAGTAAACTACATATCAGCCAACTCAGGGCAGGACTCACTAATGGACTAGGGACCTATGTTTTAGGGCAGTAGTTCCCAATCCTGGTCCTGAAGAACCCCCAACATTGCAAGTTTTTGATGTCTCTCTTATCTGAAAAACACATTTGAGGTCTTGGAGTCTTTACTAATGAGCTGATGAGTTGAATCAGGTGTGTTTGAATAGAAGACGTCTAATATGTGCAGTGTTGAGGGTCCTCCGGGATTGGGAACCACTGTTTTAGGACATATGGCTCTGCTAAATTGAGAACCCATGGTTTAAAAACTGATGCTAACCAAATATTTCACTGGAGCAGCATATCATTAACTAAAAAAATGGAGGAGCTACAGCTAATTTACGAGTTGTTGTATTTCACATGCATATCATACTGTATTGAGCAGGGGGAAATATTATATCAGCGGTGTGGGAATATGACCAGAGTGGCTGTTTAATGCTTTGGAGGACTTTTAGGAGTATGTGTGTAAGAGACTTAGGAATTATAAGGAATACTGTAACTATCCAGCTACAGGATATGACCTCATTGAGCTTCTCTTGAGCTCTTACTAAAGACGGGCTTAGTGATGCTAACGAGCCCCGGCACTGCCACCGCATCAATACTACAGCTAAATGCTTATATTGTGCTACTGCTAATGCTATGTCCTCTACTAATACCATGGAGATTTACCCATACGGTTTAGTTAAAAAATAAAGTAGAAATGGCAGCTAGCTAGCCTTTAATACAATAACATTAGCTAATGCATCAGATAAGTATTAGCTTTTTTCCCAAAACTTAGAGAGCTGCCTCACTGCCAACTGCCTGCATAGGCAGCAACTCTGTCATGGAACTCTCAAGTGACTGATTTGGAATACTCTACGTAGGCAGCAAACGCATATAAGGCACACAATGCAAGAGACTCGTAATAGTTTCAACAGGCTACGATGTTAGCGTGTTGCTAAGATTACCCACATTCGAATAAGAATGCATATACATAGTACGCACAAGTATTATGTAAAATAACCAATTTATTTTTTATTAATACTTTATAATACTGAATGAAATTTCTCTTGAGTAGTCAGCCATCTTGCTGCATTGCATTCTGGAATTACCTTATCTGTGAAGGAATCATGCTGGCTTAAATATGGAGATGGTCCTCACTGCAGAACACAAGATCCAGGGGGCGAGGTTGGATCCAGATCCAACTCCTCCCACCTTACATATGCAGTAGCAGCTCTTCACCTTGGTGTCGCTGAAGAATAGGGCTGGTACACCCTCGATAATGGGCTGCAGCAGGGGGCCTCTGCGCTTGCTGGAAGGCGAGCCCTGTGGTGGTGTTAATAGTGACATTACAACCCAGTAAACTACATATCAGCCAACTCAGGGCAGGACTCACTAATGGACTAGGGACCTATGTTTTAGGGCAGTAGTTCCCAATCCTGGTCCTGAAGAACCCCCAACATTGCAAGTTTTTGATGTCTCTCTTATCTGAAAAACACATTTGAGGTCTTGGAGTCTTTACTAATGAGCTGATGAGTTGAATCAGGTGTGTTTGAATAGAAGACGTCTAATGTGTGCAGTGTTGAGGGTCCTCCGGGATTGGGAACCACTGTTTTAGGACATATGGCTCTGCTAAACTGAGAACCCATGGTTTAAAAACTGATGCTAACCAAATATTTCACTGGAGCAGCATATCATTAACTAAAAAAATGGAGGAGCTACAGCTAATTTACGAGTTGTTGTATTTCACATGCATATCATACTGTATTGAGCAGGGGGAAATATTATATCAGCGGTGTGGGAATATGACCAGAGTGGCTGTTTAATGCTTTGGAGGACTTTTAGGAGTATGTGTGTAAGAGACTTAGGAATTATAAGGAATACTGTAAATATCCAGCTACAGGATATGACCTCATTGAGCTTCTCTTGAGCTCTTGCTAAAGACGGGCTTAGTGATGCTAACGAGCCCCGGCACTGCCACCGCATCAATACTACAGCTAAATGCTTATATTGTGCTACTGCTAATGCTATGTCCTCTACTAATACCATGGAGATTTACCCATACGGTTTAGTTCAAAAATAAAGTAGAAATGGCAGCTAGCTAGCCTTTAATACAATAACATTAGCTAATGCATCAGATAAGTATTAGCTTTTTTCCCAAAACTTAGAGAGCTGCCTCACTGCCAACTGCCTGCATAGGCAGCAACTCTGTCATGGAACTCTCAAGTGACTGATTTGGAATACTCTACGTAGGCAGCAAACGCATATAAGGCACACAATGCAAGAGACTCGTAATAGTTTCAACAGGCTACGATGTTTGCGTGTTGCTAAGATTACCCACATTCGAATAAGAATGCATATACATAGTACGCACAAGTATTATGTAAAATAACCAATTTATTTTTTATTAATACTTTATAATACTGAATGAAATTTCTCTTGAGTAGTCAGCCATCTTGCTGCATTGCATTCTGGAATTACCTTATCTGTGAAGGAATCATGCTGGCTTAAATATGGAGATGGTCCTCACTGCAGAACACAAGATCCAGGGGGCGAGGTTGGATCCAGATCCAACTCCTCCCACCTTACATATACCTAAACCTACCATCTCCACCCCCTAGATGTGGATCCAACCCTGCCACCTGGATCTTTGTTCTGTAGTGAGGGGCTACTGTAAATATGGCCAAAGTGATGTAACTTTGAAGGCAGAATAATAAAGTTGCCTTATCTTTTGCAATAGCCTTCAACATTGGGAGTGCATGTAGCTCACTAGGTTTAGGAACACAGGAATTGGAACTGTAAACCAGGGGAGTTCAGTCCTGCTCCTTGAGGGCCGGCAGAATTTTGCTCCAAACTATCCCAAAACAACTACCTGGAAGTTTTCTAGTAATCCCGAAGACCTGGCTGGTTCAAGGTATTTGAGATTAGGACTAGAACTAAACTCTAAAGGACAGTGACCCTCCAGAAGCAGGATTGGACACTCCTGCTGTACATGAACTCCTACTTGAACGATTTCTCCAGCAGACGGAGAAACTGAAATGGGACACAAGGATACAATGGAGAGGGAAAGCAAGAAAAATGTTGGAAAAACTGAACTTACAATGACTGGAATGGCAGATGCTCTGCAGAGAATCTGTTTGATGAGTCGGTACCGGTCGTATAGAGGCTTCATGGCCTGCCTCTCATTCTTGGTGATCTAGGAAGTGTGACAAAAAGACATTGAAATCAACTTCAAAATATGTAGACAATAAGTTCTTAACCTTAAGAAGGTGAACTTATTGCACTTTTTTGAAGAATTGCATACTCACTGGCCTCCCGTGGATGCTCTCGTAATATAAAAGAGCTTTCTGAAGGGCCACTTTTTCTGCTCCTATCTGCTCACGGGTCATGTCCTAAAGAAGAACAAAGGATTAAATTTGAAAGATTCATGCATTTGTTTATAATAAAAAAGGTCAAATGAGAAACAAAATCCTTTGAAATCGCACCTTAACGTCTTCAGGACGGCCAGCCTCCTTGCGTTTCTCCTGCATTTTGTTCATAACTGCCTCTAGCGTGCACTCCACAGGGGGTTTGGGGGCTTTGGTCTCAGTGGGTTTCTTCTCCAGCTGAGATCCAAAGCTCTTGGGAAGAGTGTTGCTGCGCTGGCGGGGGATGGGCGTCAAATCCTCTTCTGACTTAAGCAACTTGTTATCTGTGAATTGAAGCCACTTGTTTACAAGAACTTTGCAAGCCATGAGCAGAGCAGATTAGATCAGGGATTGTTTTCCTGGTAGGCCCAACCCACAAAGGTTAGTGAGAAATGACACCAGAGACATTTTGTTTGAACAAAATATTATGAAGGTTGGATTGGCGTAGCTTATGTGATAAAAATCACTTTCATAACGGTAACTCGCTCTTGCAAGAGGAATTTCATTCATACCTTTTGAGTCTTTGCGCATCTTGGCCAGTTCATTCATCCACCGCAGAACCTCTGGATTGGCGGCTTTGTCGCCGTGTGAAGGCTGTACAGAAAACACTAAACTCAGTATCTGTAGCAAATCCAGCTAAATACATTTTGCATTGGTCTTTTCATCACAGAAATGGTGCATGTATAGTATTCTGAGAATTAGTTTTCAGAGTAGACTGCTTCATTGATTGCAATGGGTTTATCAGTGTAGTCATTGTAGGTTGTTTAGTCCTCGCAACAGATTTGATGCACTCACCCTGTATTTGCGCTCTTCTTCAAACTTCTCCTCAAACCTCCTGATCTTCTTCTTGAGTACATGGATCCGCTTTGAAAGCTGGGCTGAAGTGAGCTCTTCCCGGTCATCGTCGCAGGAGCCTAACGATGAGCTTCTTCGCCTACTGAATGGAGAACATTGTTAATTTCACCCTCTAAAAAAACATACATTATTTAATCTTCCAGACCGTTTGTTGTTTTACCTGACAAACGCGTGGGCATTTGGTGGAGATGGAGGAACCTCAGTGTCATCCAGATACTGCTGACTGTCTCCATAAGCGTAGAACCGCGGCGAGACCATTGGGTCGCTGTCCTCCTCCAGGAGCTGGCGAATCAGCTTGCCACCAGCGTGGGGTGACAGATGAGCCTCCTCGCGCTCCATACTCTCCTTTTGCCAAGACGAGTAGGCCGGGACTGGTTCTGTCAACAGACAAACATGCATGTGTTAATATGGAGGGAAACAACAAAGCAGCGTGTCTAGATTTTAACAAGTCATCAAGTAAGTTGCAAGCAAAACAGAGAAGTGGCAACAGGACATCCACAAGGTAGATTTAGTCTTTGTTGATACACAGTCATTGCCAAAGTTTGGGTGCACATTAAATTTTAACTTGGCTGATACTCTATTGACCTTGATGCTATTTCTGGCATCCTGAGGTAAACTGTTATAGCCGAAACCACAAAATTTGTGCAATTCAGCTCAGTAGACTGTTGTTTTTACAAAATACATGTGTACTTTTCATTGTAGACTATTAAATGAAACTGTGACAAGGTGTTCTTAAGTTTCGTGCACTACAGTTTATAGGATTGGTGGCTTTGTCGCCGTGTGAAGGCTGTACAGAAAACACTAAACTCAGTATCTGTAGCAAATCCAGCTAAATACATTTTGCATTGGTCTTTTCATCACAGAAATGGTGCATGTATAGTATTCTGAGAATTAGTTTTCAGAGTAGACTGCTTCATTGATTGCAATGGGTTTATCAGTGTAGTCATTGTAGGTTGTTTAGTCCTCGCAACAGATTTGATGCACTCACCCTGTATTTGCGCTCTTCTTCAAACTTCTCCTCAAACCTCCTGATCTTCTTCTTGAGTACATGGATCCGCTTTGAAAGCTGGGCTGAAGTGAGCTCTTCCCGGTCATCGTCGCAGGAGCCTAACGATGAGCTTCTTCGCCTACTGAATGGAGAACATTGTTAATTTCACCCTCTAAAAAAACATACATTATTTAATCTTCCAGACTGTTTGTTGTTTTACCTGACAAACGCGTGGGCATTTGGTGGAGATGGAGGAACCTCAGTGTCATCCAGATACTGCTGACTGTCTCCATAAGCGTAGAACCGCGGCGAGACCATTGGGTCGCTGTCCTCCTCCAGGAGCTGGCGAATCAGCTTGCCACCAGCGTGGGGTGACAGATGAGCCTCCTCGCGCTCCATACTCTCCTTTTGCCAAGACGAGTAGGCCGGGACTGGTTCTGTCAACAGACAAACATGCATGTGTTAATATGGAGGGAAACAACAAAGCAGCGTGTCTAGATTTTAACAAGTCATCAAGTAAGTTGCAAGCAAAACAGAGAAGTGGCAACAGGACATCCACAAGGTAGATTTAGTCTTTGTTGATACACAGTCATTGCCAAAGTTTGGGTGCACATTAAATTTTAACTTGGCTGATACTCTATTGACCTTGATGCTATTTCTGGCATCCTGAGGTAAACTGTTATAGCCGAAACCACAAAATTTGTGCAATTCAGCTCAGTAGACTGTTGTTTTTACAAAATACATGTGTACTTTTCATTGTAGACTATTAAATGAAACTGTGACAAGGTGTTCTTAAGTTTCGTGCACTACAGTTTATAACTCAAACATAGCGAGCACATGCTGTAATACCTGAAAGTTTTGTTTACTTACTATGCAGATGTCATGACCGTATAATAAGGTCAGAACAATTTAATGATGCATCCAGAAGAATGTTGCGATAAATGCTGACTGCAAAGTGACCTGTGGAACTGGCATGCATCAAACTTGATCTTATCTGTTGTTATAAAGTTGATATTGCCATATTTACAGCATTGAAGTGCAAGTAAAACCTTCAGAGTGTTCGCACAAGGCACCATTGATTAGGACAAACAGTAAAGCAATGTGTTTGTGCTTGGTACTATAATTTTTTTTATTTTCTGAGCTCTAAAAGACCATTAAACTGCACGTCAACAGTTTATGGGACTTTTTCTGAAGAAAAGAATGTAGTTCGCCTGTGGAAAAACTTGCTACTACAATGCTGGGGTGGTTGCCAGGGCATTTCTAAGTGCATTTGCAAAGGTAATGTGAGCAGTTGCCAGTTTCTATATAGTTGCTAATGTGTTGTAGGTGATTGCTAAGGTGTTAATGTGACGTTTCAAAAGTGTTCAGTGTTTTCTGGTACATTGCTATGCAGTCATTATCGTTATCAATGTTTTACTCTTAAATATTAGCAGTAATAACAGAGATGCATGACTTTGCAGTCAAAGGACTTCATTTCAGTGCATGCATACTCACTCGACCACAACTGCTCCACATGCTTTTCAAAATGCTGTGCAAACAATCTGGTGGAGCCTGAATTTCCACAGCCTCTTTGCAATTTTTGTACCGTGTCATGTGCTTGTTACAGTCATGCTTGAGAAGCTAATGGGTCAGGTGGACCTCTCCCTAATGGCGCATTTGGAGCCATTTTGTTGAGCCGGCATAATACATCCAAGCATGTGGTACAAGATGGCCTTTCACTAAAAGACTCACAAAAAGTCTCAGTAGGCCGTTGCGGACATAAATAAAGGCACATATTACTGTGCCTGTCCTCAGGTTGTTAGATGCTAGGTGGGTACATGCCAGTTTGGGGTGTTTTATGGGATTTCCATGCAGCGTTTAAAGGTCATTGGTGAGAAATGGGGATCAGGGATCTCAGCCCTTACCCTCATTGTGACTTTATTTTAAAAGGCTTTTAAAGTCAAGGAAAGGTGCGCAAAAGAAGTGAGAATCTGAAAGACAAAAGGAAAGAGAGGCAATTGAGATAACGGCCCAAGGAAAAGGTTTTACCATAGACTGCATAAAAACATGGACGTGGTGTCCGTGACCGTGACGTCACCCGTAGGTTTCCGAAGAGCGTTTTTGAAGCCTAAAGTAGGCGGAGCCGGCCGTCGCCATCATGGCAGCGCGTCACTCCCGGATAATCGGAAATGGGCAAAGAGGCGGGAGCTGGTTGCTGAAACCACGCCCACCTAGCTCGATGGTGGTGACAGCAGCGGCAATCCACCTGTCACTCAAGTGACCACGCCCTTAATTATGCAGAATTTTAAGGCTTAATATAATTTAAAAATAGTTATAAAAAAAATTCACCCCCCTCACAGTTGTCATGAAGGGCAAAATTAGCTATATAGACCAAAACCACTTTTTGTACCAGGCTGTAAAGTTGGGCAGGAGTCAGGCAGAAATGCAGCGAGTGATATATAAGATTGTGGAAATCCCAGTTGACAGGCATATGGGCAAACCGCTGTCTCTTGGCACTGCAGTGGGTCACCACAATGTGCTTTGGCACCGGCCATAGTGGGACAAAGGTCTAGCAGCTCAACATTACATACTTTCCTGAACTCTCATTTGACCTCTCCCATGAGCTGGAGCAACAGTTTGTTTTTAGTGCAACTGTATTTTACAGTCGTGTGAGCTCATATTTAGCAACCATATGCTTCCAAAGATGTTAACAAAACTATTTAGCTTGTATAATCATTTATACGTTCATCTGATTTTGTTCCACTTAGCATAATAAACTTAACTGCTACAATTTGTAGAATAGAACTATGTACACTAACATTCACAAAGCCTTTGCTTTAAAGCTTTTATTTGTATAAAGCTTTCTACCACACACAAAGCTGACCTATTTCATCATGATATCTGTGATTAAGCATGATTAAGCAGCATAACAAACATAATTGCTAATTGACTGCCCCCAAAATAAGTCAATTTGTTTATGCGAAAATTGCTTTTCAAAATAAATAGTCCCAAAGCTGATCATTTTCATCATGTTATCTGTAATTAAGCTGTTCCACTAAGCATAACAAACATAATTGCTAGGATTTGCGCAAAACTATTCAAATGACTGATTTGTGTAGCTCTTTTCAAAATAAATACGGTTCCTTTTTCCTCATGTTCGTCTTAAGTTGTTCCATTTAGCATAACAAACTAAATCACTAGGATATGCAGCATAAAACTAGAAAAATGCACCCCAAAATGAGGCAGTTTATTTATTTGTAAAGTGCTTTTCATGATAAATATCGTCCCAAAACTCACAATTTTCATCATGTTATCTGCGACTACATAGCATACCAAACTTCTGTGTATAACTATGAAAATGCACACTGGACAGCCTTAAAATGACTCAATTCAAAATCAGAATTCAGTTTTTTTTACTAGTATAGCACTTTTCACTATACATATTTTCACATATTCCAAAACTACCTAAATTGCCTTGGAAAAAAAAAACATGCAGAAACCATTCAAAATGGTTTCTGTCTAAACATGAGACAACAAAACAGCACTTAGAGGAAATATCTCACGTCGCACTCCCAGGAATGTCTCTGTGAAGACCTTGCAAAACCACAGGGCAATGTTTTGATCATCTTAAGAGTAACTGTCAAGCAAGATATGTCATTATGTACGCAGCTGTTTAAAGTTCTCAGTAGAGGGTGCCATAGAACAAGTCCATGATACAGTATAGAGATTCTGCCAAGGCTGGGACCACAATATTAAGTACTATATTAAAGTAAAGGGTAATTGTGAATCAACATGGCAACCCTCTCAGCAGGGCAGCTCCATATGCTATGCGCGATTCACTGTCTTCTGTGTCTCCGTGGCAGACCTCAAACACTGACCGTACACTACAAAATTTCCAAGGTCATGGCGAAAAGGGGTGTGTTGCGCATGTTTGTGCAAGTCTACAACTGGCACATGCTGCACGAACTGAAGAGGAAACAGGAAGGGAGACTATTGTACATAGCCATGACAGGTTTTAAAGGCTCAGACGTGACGTGCACATAGCAACAGCTCCCAGACTCCTGGATTTAAAACCTCCTCCTGTTTCACTTCTCAGTTGCTATGACTATAAGGCCCTCCACTAAACGTCTGTTTGTTTCTAACCTCAATACTGAAGATGACAAATGCTGTGAATCCTAAGCTTGGCTGAAATGCAGCAGTTGTGAAAATGCATCAAATCACTGAACAAACCCCATTTTATTGTGATGCATCTGCTCAGCGAAGTTTATTTAGATTCTGTGTACTGCTTGCATAAAACATGGTTTTAAACACAGCAAAATAGTCATTTTAAAATAGATAAGCAAAATGAATAAACAAAAAGTGCTGTATGTATGTATATATATATATATATATATATATATATTAATAAACAATAAAGTATGAGGCAATTCCAATTTATAACGATATACATTAAAATTAAATAACTTCTATATCAAAGAATATGAAGAATAAACAAAAAAAGCCCAAATATGCAATCAATAGCCTGTCTAGTGTTTACAAACACAGGGTTATAGCCAAAGGGGAAGTGTGGGGAGAGAGAAAAAACACATGCAACTGCAAGAACCACAGATGAATCCAGTACAAACTCAAAAAATCCCAGACTCATCGGAGTTAAAATTCTCAAGGGACATCGCAGGGCTTTGAAGAAGCACC